TGAGATTCTCATAAGTTTTCCGGGTCAATGGCCAGGGGGCAGCCTGAAGACACATGCTCACTGAGCTGTACAACTCATGAACATCAAACATACCTGTTAGAGACTGTAGATAAAATGCAATTCCCCATAGAGAGGACCTACACTGTAGGCGCACTAAATAACCCACAGTGATCATACACGCTTCACCCAGAAGTGATCCATGGGTGTTACATTACCCAAATGCATTCCCCAGTAATATCCACTGCTTTCTACATTCTCATGAGAAGTATGAACTTCCAAAGGAACCTACTTTGAGGATAGATGAGTTCAACTTCTCAGCTTTCTAATAGATAATATAGTTTAAAAAAAGTAGTCAAATTTTGAGCTTAGGTAATTTGTTAGCATGATTTCTTTATTGTTGTTGTTGTTTTGAGACAGGGTCTCACTGACCTCAAATCTGTGATCCCCCTGCCTCAGCTCCCCAATTGCTGAGTATGTCTTAAACTTCTAAAATAATAATATTAAACTTTACAGCGCATTTCATTTTCAAATCACTCATTCTTAAACTGTTTAAATTCTTCAAAGATCACTGTGTAATGGCTAAGGTGTTTACTGCTCTCAGACTCACTTACAGATAAGACATTAAATCTGAGGTCAGACTTAATGGTAAGGACAGTCTGAACCCCAGTTTGTGTAAACCTGAGATAAGTGGTCTGGGGTTTCTTTACAGAGTTCATTGCTGTACTCCTCGCTTTGGTTTGGAGGGTTTTCCCCCCAATAAAAACTCAACTATAAATTTATGTCAAGCATCTTCTCCCATCATTAATAGTATTTCACAATCAAAAATCACGAAAAGACTACAGTCATAGGAGGCCTGGGCCTCAGGACAGAAGTGTCCCTGGGAGGGATGAGAGGCCACTGCAGCAGCAACTAAGAGGAGGAGCAGAAACACCAGTCTTCCTGCGGCTGGGACCTCAGCCTAGTGTCGGCTAATCTACTGTCGGAAAAGTATCAGACACACAGTAAACTCAGCCTTGGCTACATTACCTAAAAGCCGAGAGTGAGGCCTGACTTCTGCTAGAACACTGGTACCTCCTTCTACCAGGATCTTAGCCTCAGAGCCCAGCAGCTCCGGTACCTGAGACTGGACCCAGAGTTAGCACAGGCTCCCCTTTTCATTACATGCGTGCAGAGTGAATAAATGAGTGCATAGCACTCAGGCGCCCGTTAAGAAATTCACCTCCGAATCTGTCAGCTCAACCCCTTCTACTTCCTCTCCCTCATCTTTCCTCTTCTGGCCTCACCCGCTTTCCTCCCTGTCCATGTGACAATGGAAATATGTGCTACCTTGTATGGTTGGTCTGTAGACCAACTCCTCTCCTTGCATACTGGCATTGTTCCTTGAGATTAGCTAAGGCCAAAGCTATTACATTTCTATTTCTCTTGAAGGACACTGTAAATTGTTTGAGCTTCTTCTACTTGGGCTATATTAAACAAAGTTAAAAGACCTGTCTCCTTCCTTGCTCATTCTAGATTGCATCTGAATTGCACTTGTGAAACCAGAGTGGCCAAAAGGCCAGGTGGGGGTCAGGAGAAGCTGACACATTCATATTTGAGCTGAATTGATGGAGGAAAAAAGTCTGGGATAAAACAGATCACCCAAACATAGAATAAAGAATGGTGAGAACTAATAAGGGCATAAATTGTTTTCAAATTCATCTCAGTGAAGTTATCACTAAAACAAAGTTTTGGAAGAATCTGCAATTTGAAAGAAAATGACAACTAGTATGTTTCTGCATGGTATAAAGATAGTCTCCAGAATATTAGAAATGTTTAAATGGTTGATTTCCATTTTAAAATGACATGATCGATATAATAATTTATAACAGAGCACCCATAGTCTTTATAATATTCTCACAACCTTCAGAACATGAAGTGTTCTCACAGTTCAATTTAATTAAGGGATTAAAGCAATTATGCATCTTGTACATGTCACTGTACATTCACTATTGGGGTTCTCAATTTCGTTCCTTCATATAAGCTGCAAACATACATCAAAGTTTTTAAACTTGATCTTTGGATCAAGCTCTTTTTTTCTTCTTCTTTCTTCCTTCCTCTCCTCCCCTGTGTGTGTATGTGTGTGCATGCACATGTTTGGGTAGGTAGGTCTCTGTGAATATGATAGTAATATTTGTGAGAATTCTCCTATAGATGAGGCTTTGCTTCACAAGTGTAGCCAGTACAAGACACCCCAGCTGTTTTCCCAAGCCCTGTGACCCAGACTTTGGGCTTCCGTTGTATCCCAAAGCGCTCGCTGAGTGAAGGAAATCACGACTTCATAGGCATGCTCTTCTAGAAAGACTAGAGACATCTCAGCCTGAGATTAGCTACACAATGTGACAAAACCACCTTTCCAAGAAACGGTGTGGCTGTGAGCTTTTGGTCCATAGTGCAAGCGGCTCATCCTGCTCTACCGGGTTGCTGTTGAGCCAAAAACCTCCTGAGCCAAGCTCTCTCGCAAGATTTCCTGTACTTCCTGTCTCCATGTGAGCCAGAAATACCCTGAGAACGACCTTTCTTGTGGTAATTTTTGCACTTCTGCTCTGGGATGAGGATCCCATATTGGGGGGGGGGGGTAGTTAAATTGTGAAAACATTTTCGACTCACGGGACATTCATATGAAGTAGGTTCCCCTTTTGGGATGGTAATTGGAAATGATGCTTGTTTGGCCCTAACTCGTCCCTTATAAGAAACATTCACATCCAATGATCCAACATTTTGTAACTTCTCCGGAATATTTTTACAAGGAAATGTGTGGAATAATCTAAGAGAAAAGTATATTCTTGGCTTTTAAGAAAAGTGATCTTCAAGAAGCTTGCATGGAAGAGCTGCGCTTTTAATACATCAGCATCTGTGATATATCGTATCATATATTTGTTTTTCTTTGTTCTTAACCCCTTTGTTTTAAGGGTCAGGATATCCTGATGCTAAGGACTCTTGCAAAATAACCGAACAAAAATAAAAATAGTCAAACACTTAGGAAACCCTTGAGTTGCTAAGTCAGGGAAGTTTGTGACCGAGGAGTGGCTGGAAGACATTAATCAGGAAGTATGGTGTGGAGTACAACAGCCTGCATACTAAATAGAACCCTCTGATTTCAGAGACCCTCAATGCCCCGAGTCCAGTGGCAGGGCAAGGTAAGAAACAAAAGGGTTGTCAAACTAGGCAGATGAATCCAACTGCTATAGAAATGTTTTTATCTCAACAGAACGGGTTAAAGAAAGAAATATTTCAAATAAAGTGGGCCACGAGTTTTTACTCATTTGGTTGTATGAATGTGTAGTTGTTATAGAAAAACTGCAGTATTAATAATGAAATTCACAGAAAAGCACTACCCCCAATTATACTTATGTACACACACACACACACACACACACACACACACACACACACACTGAGGGTTTTAGGCCTTTTTCATCTACCAGGAAAGAAAGCTGGTTTACAGTATACTTTTTCATCTAGAAAAAAAAAAAAAAAAAGAGGGGAGAAATCACTTAATTCATTATGAAAAAAAACCAAGACTTATTAAACATAGTTTTAGAAGAGTAATGACAAGATTACAGTGAGCTTTACCGCTTTCAACTTCAAAAACATAATGAAGTGTGAGCAGAGTGATGAAAATAAAACGCTCCCAATGGTCTTTCTCCTCTCCCCCAAATCTCCGCCTTGCTCCCCTAAAGAAACATCAAATGATTGTGTGATCAACCAGCCGTAGGAATGCAGAGCGGGAGCAACAGCTTGTACATCAGCAAAATAAATTGCCAAGCAAAACAAAGGCCTTTGCAAGGCAGAGACACTGAGCTCCAAGGAAGACAGGATTGTTACAATGTCTTTCAGGAAAACGGGCTTTCTGTGTGAATGTGCAAGCTCAAATTGTTCCTACAAACCCAATTTGCTGGCAAAAAATGCCAAGCATAATGCCACCCCACTTTCGTTTATGTCCAGAGCCTTTCACATAAGCCACAGGGGGTATCTCTGTTGCTGCTTTGGCTCTGACTCTCAGGGTCAGCCCCTTCATCTCTGAGCCTCAGGAAGCAAGAGGCTTGGCCCACGGTTGTCCTCAATTCACCACTCCGGGGTGGGGACACAGTAGTCAGTGGCCCAGATATTAAGCCCACAGTGTGGTCTCTCTGAAAAAAAAAAATCATCCATGCTTGCTTTTCCAGGCCATTTATGACCCCCTACCAACACCTTTTAACATGATGACTACCCTTTGAAAATGGGGTTTTAACCATCCTGAGCCACGTGTCCAGGCTAAACAGGCACTCTGTGCATATGCATAAGGACTTTGACACTTCCCTAATCCACTTTTTTCCAGTTAGCTTTGGAATGTGATTCAATGTTATTTCCTTCCAGCTGAAGGGCAGCTGAGGTTACAAGGGGATTTGACTAATAGACCAAAAAACCCGGATAGTTTGCAGAGAACTTTGACAGCAAAGGGGGTGGGGTGTGGAAGAAGGAAGGAGAGTGTTTGAACTGTGGTCCTTAAGATCAAACCGCCCCCATCCCACGCAGGCACAGTGGACAGACCAGGCAGGCCCCCCACCGGGCCCCCCAGAGAGAATCAGCTACAGACGAGTTCTGGCAGAACACAGCTTCCCGTTTTGCTGAAAGCTCGTTGGGATTTACAGAACTAGAGTCTGGGAAGCTTCTAGGCTTCTAGTGCCATAGGAGTTAACCCCTCACCTGGCACTTCCAGATAATTAGCCTGTGAGGGCCCCCGCTCAGAGTCACGCAACGCGGAGCCCCGAGCCTGAAATCTTTCGTGGCTAAGCCACTTGACAAACTTGACAAGAAGCTCATAGAAAACAAACGAAACGGGAGGAAGAAGGGAGGTGAAGGCTGAAGCCTCCACGGCTTTTTTTCCCCTCCCCGCTGTCGTTCCAGCTGTAGCCTGGGATTAATTAAGTGCTGTGAATTCAGTGCCTAAGAGAGAAGGAGAAAATACTCTGTATCTCTAAGGAAGGAGGGAGTCCAGAGACGGTTTCTCGGCAGTGAGGAACCTTAGGTCTCATCTCATCGCCAGTGTTTTGTGCAGGGGCTGGGAAAGCCAGAGAGGCTGTGCCAGGCTGGAGGAGACTTGTCTTTCCAAGGCTGGAGAGGATTTCACGCGGGTTTGCTTGCAGCTGCCCGGGAAGAAATTCCCCTCTGGTGGCAGCAGCCGCAGCAGCAACTGCAGCGGCGGCGGCAGCAGCAGCAGCAGCGACGGCGGCAGCCCTACCTCCTGTTCTGGGGAACAGGGCAGAATGCCTGTGCTAGAGCGGTACTTCCACTCCGCAGAACTAGGCAGGAGGTGGACGGCCCCAGAAGGTGTGCTGCCCTCCGCCCTAAGCAGCAGGCCGGGGTGCCAGCAGGGGCCGCTACCCTGGGACTTGCCAGAGATGATCAGGATGGTAAAGCTGGTTTGGAAGTCCAAAAGTGAGCTGCAGGCAACCAAGCCGAGAGGCATTCTGGAAAATGAAGATGCTTTGCACAGCTTCCCAGGTAAACGGACGGTGGGGTGCAGTAGGTGACCTCGCCAGGTCTCATCTCTCTAGGTCCCCTTCTTGGGTCAAGGAAAGAAGGCAAGTTGTGGAGACAGGGTTCAAAGGGTGATTACAAACGTTTGCTCTACTAGAAAAGCGCCTTAAAGTTGAACGATGGGTATGCTGAAGGGCTGTTAGCATGGAAATCAACAAACCTAGTGTAGGGGTCGGGTCAAATCTTGAGTTTCAGACCCCAAGGGGAGAGAATGAAACTGGATCCTCTTTCATGTCCATCCTACCCCTAACATTTCTTGTCCATAGTTAGAAATGTCTCCTCCAAATTTTAATGATGCAACTTATGTAGTGTGTGTACATGTTCCCAGGACTGAGGGTAGTCTGCATGCTTTTTCAACCCTTGCAAGTTAATAAACTGCCCAGCCTCAGTTTCCTCTTTGACCAGTGATGAATACCCCTACAGAAATGAAGAAAACTCAGCTACAAGTGTGGAGATGATGAGTCAGAAAGGCTTTTTGCATGTCGTTAAGAATGGGCTGTTTGGGGTGGGACAGTTAGTTGGACCTTTGCAGCATTTCTAATGGGGGGGGGGGTTGGGGTAGGGTACAAAGATACCTTTGGGACTCTGTAATCGACAAATGCCACCACTGATGACCGGGTGCTCCCTTCCTCGGGGGAATCTGTTGATGTGTGTTTGGGGGAGCAGTGAGTTCACTTGAGAATAAGGCATATGAGTGTGCTCATGCCTTTTAAGTCCTGGCCATCCCCATGCAGTGGAACCCTGACATGGCATCTGCCATGAGACAGTCCAAAAGTCATCTCCCCTTTTCTCATGGGAATAGGCTGAGAATAAAAACTACTCTGATTTTGCTCCAAATAACTTGTGGCAGAAAGGTTTGCTGTTGTTTGTTTGTTGTTTTTTACACCAAGATGCCTAATAATTTATGAAGAATATTATTTAAAAGTAATGCTCCAGGTGGGGGTGTGAAAAAAAAAAACAGCGTTGTTCTTTAGTAAACAATGAGTATTTGAGCACTTAGAAAGGAGAAGTAAAGCAATCAGCCTGGGGTTTTGTGGCATTTGGAAATGGGTCTTGGTCAGAAGAAATGAGGTAATGGGAAAGTCATTCATATTTCATGGGAGCAGGGCTAGGAAAACGGAAAAGGCCCCCTAAGCAGAAAATGCAAGTATGGTACACCAACTGCTCTAACCCCTGACTTGTGTCATTATCTGAGATGACTAAAATTCACATTTCAAATAGCACCTTTCATAGAGCTTCCTCGACCGTCACTCCTCAGCGCATCTGTGGGGGAAGGTGCACATCATTCCTTCCAAGCCATGTGAGTGGGGTCCCATCCTGAGCAGGCAGAGCTTATTCAAAGGGAAAGTTGAGCCAGCCTCTCACACCTCTCTACTGCTTCCTCCAGTGTCCCTTACCATGGAAAGTGTCCTAACTGAGCCCTGGACAGAAAGCAGCACCCATCTGCAGCCTACTCACCTTGCCTGCAATAGGGTGGGTTCTGTGTAAACGACCCCCTCCCAGAGCCCCAGGGATGTCTCTCTGCTTTACCTGCTTCCCCATTTTCTCAGGGATAGAAAAGTTTCAGGATTTCTGATGTGATCACAAAACCCTCTTACCCATTAGCATAGGCCCAAGAAAACAGGGAAACGAAGTATTATAAATTCTGTGAATATTTGGACTTCTGTGATAACAGAAGAGTCAGTTTAAATGTTTAAAAACTACTAAACTGTGGAAATTCTGAATAGTCACTTTGCAGGGCTCTAGAGATGAATGCCACTGGCTGCTAATATGTCTAATGCAGCCCTCAGAAGCCCCAGGATTCCCTCTCCCTTGTGAAGGGCATCAATGTTTGTATTTATGCTTCCTTAGACAATATTAGAACTCTGTCCTTTACAAGTGAAGTAGAAAAATGTTTGCGGTGTTTTGTTAGGTAAAGGAAAGAACAAAAGAAAAGCCGAGAAAATAAATAAAAGCATGCATTCATGAGAAATTCAATATGAGATGCACAGAAGCACAAGCCATGGGAAACAGAGGAGGGCAAGGAAATGCTGGGGAGGTGGCAGGTCAGCATGCCCTGGGAGGTTGTTCCAAGCAAGGGAGCTTGCATGAGGGGTGGGGTGGTGCATGGCTGTGTGGGGTGTGACCCTAAGCTGGACAGTGCCCAAAGTAATAATACTGAATAACTGAAGTGACAAGTGGCTTGCTGACTGACACCATGTCATCCAATCATGGTAACACTCCTATCTCCCCCCCCCCCCCTTTCTTTAAAGCTAATCCCTGCATTTTAGAAATGAGGTGAACAGTTCAGAAAGACTCAGTATTTGTTCCATGCCCCCCCCCCAGGACAGGATCTCAATAGTTAACTGAGTCACAAAACTTTTAAATGATCATAGCCCTTGCCGGGGGTGAGGGGGGTAGGAGGTGGGGAGTGGGGTTAGATTCACACTTCAGGTAAGATGTTGTTTCTATGGTTACCTGTTGGCCGGGCAAGCACTGGAACTCATTATTCAAAACCTTGGACAAACAAACTAACAAAATAACAGTCTCATTTGAAACAAGGCAGGAATGTGTCTTCTCTACATTTTTCTACTCATTTGGAGGGCATTAGCTTTAGGTGGAAGCCTTTAGTACTGGGAAGGAGTGGAGAACAGTCCTCCTTGGTCCTTAAGGCTTAAAGCACAGCCTAGCGAGCAGGCATGAAAGACAGGAATGAGGGTGGATGGGAGGGTGGAGTGGGAGACAAATCAGTGGTTTCCCAAATGCTGGGGCTACAAACATTTCTATAGCCCTCATTCTAGCCAGACACCCAGCAGGACCTGCTCTTATTTGAATAATTCACTTTGAGATTCACTCAAATAACTGCAAACTCTTCATCTACTTACCTTCCCTTTTGGTGCCTCTAATTAAAATTCTGTATTACATGTTTCCTCGTTTATTAGGTCTCTTCTTTCAGTAGCCTTTGGTTGCAGGGAAAAAAAATGAAAACCCAGAACTCATTTGAAATAGAGAAAGAACACATGTGCTTCAAGGAGAACACGGAATCAGAAATGTACTCTATACCCAGCTCTGAATATTGAATGTCAGACAAGAAAGTCTGCAGAAGGGTTCCAGTTTCAGAAAGCTGCAATTTAAATTGACACTTAAAGTGTCATTTTAAAATCTCTTAAGTGGCAAGTGTGACATAAACCATGTTGAAGAGTAAGCACTAGGATCATTATAATTCAAGGAGCATTTATTGAATGCTTGTTGTATACCATGGGTTATACTGGACAACACTGACTGAGTGATGAATCAAAGGTTTAATGAGGGAAGAATAGCAGCACATTTATGAATCTGAGCTCTGTCTGCAGCTTCAGTGTGCAAACAAGCACTCGCTAGTTTAAGCTTCTCTGTCCACTCAAAATATTGACTGGAAAGCTGGTGAAATAAAACACACTCCTAAAAATTCATATGCACTTTCAAGCGCTCATCAGGCAGGGCTTAATGATTTCATTCAAAACAGACCAAATTGCTTTGAGAAAAGAAGTAATTAGCCTCAACAGGGGATGGGCTGGTATTAATTCATAACATTTCTCCAAGGCTACCGCCTGTAGACATTAGCCTATTAGCCTACATTCAGTCTATAGCTTTACTGAATAACAAACATCATTAAAGGTGTCATCCCTCCTTTAAATGGAACATAAAAGCAAGTCAAACCCAAAAGACAAGCCAGGTGCGGTAGATCACACTGTCATTCCAGCACCTGAAGGCAGAGACAGAAGAATTGCTATGAGTTTAAGGCTATCCTGGGCCACATGATAAGTCTCAGGTCTACCTGAGCTATGGAATGAGATCCTGACTCACCAAATAAGTAAATGTAAATTAAAAATTTTTTAAATGTAAATTAAAAACAAGTTTTCACTTTGAACCAAGTCTGTGATCCCCATAAATTTGTTTTTCTGAATGACAGACACTCAAATATAAGACAATTTTCCCCAAGTCCCATAATTCCAGTTGGTTCTGAGTCCTTGAGAAAGGCTCAAGAGACAGACTGTAAGTCCCAAACTGAGGTTTAAACCTGCTTAAATCCTGCATACACACTGATGAACTGTGTGATCCATCAAGTTAACCCCATGGTTAACCTCATCTACAAAAAGGAATAATAGTAGAATTTTCACATAAGGTTATTGAGAGGATTAAATGAGCTAATACCCCTGAATCATTCTAGAAAGACCTTAAACTAGCAGTTCTCAATCTGGGGTTTGGAGGCACATATCAGATATTTACAATATGATTTGTAACAGTAGCAAAGTTACAGTTATGAAATAGTGATGTAATGATTCTATGATTGAAGTCACCATACCACCAGGAACTGTGTTAACAGGTCACAGCATTAGGAAGGTTGAGAACCACTCTCCTAAATGCTATTCCATTCTTGATAAATGACGAATATTACACCTACACATTGATGTGCTCTCCGTGACACCTTCTCTCACCCTCTCCTTTTGCTCATAGGTCCTATCTGTGTTCTATTTGGAATCTGTTGCCTCTAACAACATTCATTTCCCACATCTCTTCTTCCACTCTGTGATAGAGATCGGCAGCATTAAAACCATAATTTTCGCAACCTCTTCAAAATCCTTCGGTGATTTTTCCAGTGTCTTCAAAGAAAACGATCCACCCTTTCCTTCTTCATATAACTCTCCATTCTTGGGAACTACCTCACTTTCCAGGCTTGGTTGTCACTGATGGCCTCTGAGCTCTCCTCCTAGACAAGCATCCCCACTGTCCGTGCTCAGCTTTGTATGCTCGGTTCCCAAGCCTTAGAATGACTCCCTTCTGGGTTCCCAGTTTTTCACATTCTCCAAAATCATATCCACATCCCGGGTCCTTCATAAAGGCTTTCTAAGAGGAGTGAACTAAAATGTAGTTGGCCCTCTAGAGTTGTGGGTTTTGCACATGGGGATCCAGTCCATTGTGGACTGAAAATAATAGCAGAAACA